GCGCCTGCTGCTGCTGCTGCTGTTACTGCTGCTGTTACTGCTGCTGCTGCTGCTGCTGATGCTGTGTGGACTCACACTCAGATGGAACATGTTTCAAACTACATGTAGGTTCTGTAAATTGTACTTGGTACCAGAGCGCCCCCTGTTCTTGGCAGCTGTACACCTCCAACATGACAAAAGTAATTCTTCATTCTCCTCCTCCTCCTCCTCCTGACCATCTGTGACCTCCTACCACACACCCCAGAATAAAAATACACACCAACAAAAACTGGGTCTGTCCCATTTACTGTACCCCCCCACCTCCCCAGGCACACTGTAACAGTCTGTAACAGTCTGTAACAGTCTGTTACAGTCTGTAACAACAGAACTCTTCTGGGTTTCAGTCCCAGAGGAGGGAAGGGGGGGGGGGTCATGTGACCAGGTCATGTGACACTACATACATTTTTACTACACACAGTACACATTCCTGGCGGGCCAGTAGGACTGGTGTCGTCATGTAATTATAAAGTCTACCACTAGGACAACAACATGTGATTCACTTCAAACTGCTCCAGCGTCAGGACAACAGTCGTGGACCACACCTGTCATTCAGTCGCTGCAGGAACTCATTCATCCTCAGGTGAACACCGTCTCCACGCCTGTCTGTCTGTCAGTCTGACTGTCAGTCTGTCAGTCTGTCTGTCCGTCAGTCTGTCTGTCCGTCTGTCTGTCTGTCTGTCAGTCAGTCAGTCTGTCTGTCAGTCAGTCAGTCTATCTGTCTGTCTGTCAGTCAGTCAGTCTGTCTGTCTGTCTCAGTCTGACTGTCAGTCTGTCTGTCAGTCTGTCTCTCAGTCAGTCTGTCTGTCTGTCTGTCTGTCAGTCAGTCAGTCTATCTGTCTGTCTGTCAGTCAGTCTGTCTGTCAGTCTGTGTGTGTGTGTGTGTGTGTGGATGGTGAACACCACCCACTGCTGTTCGACCACAGCAGGTCTCTGAACGTCACAGAGAAAGTTAACAGTCAGAGGTCAGAGGTCAGTGGTGGTGTCAGAGGTCAGATGATGATGTAACAGAACGCAGACGAGCGTCGATGGTGAGTGGAAAAGTTCACAAAGTGATTTTAATAAAGAGTAAAAACCTGTGAAGACACGTCTGTGGAGTCGAACACAACGACAGAGGTCGACAAACGAGTTTCTAAAATAAGGAGGTTTGATCTCATCCACGTTGATATGAATCAATAAACAGTCCACAGCAGCAGCAGCAGTAGTGACAGCAGCAGCAGCAGCAGCCGTGACATCAGCAGGAGCAGGGGCATCAGACGGGGAA